ACAGAAGACAATGAAGTTCATGAGATTTATGAGGACAAAAGACAGATATGGCAGTTATACAGGTAAAGGTGACTTTTCTTCATCTTTTCATTCAACAAACATTTATTGCACACCATGTCCTAGGCACTGTTCTAGGCTCTGGGAATAGAACAGCAAGAAAAACTGATGAAAATCCTTGCCCTCATGGAGTTTATATCCTACTGAGGAAAACAGACAAGCCTATTTGATTTATGAACATAAATTTAGGGCTTTAGGCTAATACTACTTCTATAGTTACTATAACCAAAAAATAAAAAATTAATTTTTTTATTTTTAAAATTTTATTTTCCAGAATTTTCATTTCACTATAGGGATTTATGTCTTTGCACTATAGGGATTTATGTCCTTGACTGGTAGTCAAACATATTCAAGTGAGTTAAAGTTTTGTTTTGTTTTAAAGATTTTATTTATTTATTCAAGAGACACACAAAGAGAGAGGCACAGACCAGGCAGAGGCAGAGGGAGAAGCAGGCTCCATACAGGGAGCCCGATGCGGGACTTGATCCCGAGTCTCCAGGATCACACCCTGGGCTGAAGGCAGACACTTAACCACTGAGCCACCCAGGCGTCCCTGTTTTGTTTTTTTTTTTTTAATGCTAGCTTTAGAGTTGTAATAAATCTATTTTCCTCTTGTTTCTCAATGGCATTAGATAGCTCTTCCAAAGAATATTTGTAAAGGGTGACTGGACTCAGAAAAAATCAGACGCCAAATGGTACAATGGAAAGCAAGGGTGTGGGAATTAACAAGGCCTGAATTCAAATCCCAGTCCAGCTTTTCACAAGTTGTATGAGCTGGGGCAAGTTACTCAGTATCTCTAAGCTTCAGTTCACCCATCTGTGAAATGGGAATAACTTCACTCTAAGGATTAAAAAGAGTAATTGCTAAAAGACACTTGACACAACACCTAGAAAAAAAATGGAGAAATGTTGGTGGCAGGTAGTGTTGGGACTACCATGACCACCATTATTCCATATGCCGGGAACAAAACAGATGCTCAATAAATGCCTACTTCTTTCCTTATTCTTCTGGAGAAGGTAAGTTCTTAACATCCTGGGTAATTATAAGGCTCCCATTCACTAGGCTCTTATAGTCTATCCTCCCCAAACTTCTGACAGCAGGAACGTAGAAGAATTAAATGCATATTAACTTCATAGATGGGCTTAGTATCTTTACTTCTAATTTGATGGAATGTATTTATTATCATCCAAAGAAAAATTTCCATGGTGATGTCACAAGTAGAAAAAAATGATCACTGAATTATGAACAATAACATAAAAATGAATGAAACTGGCATTGCTTTAGAAGTCATCCACCAAAGATTCCATAGTTAATTTTACTAAACTGACACCAATAATATTCTCCTCTGTGATAATCATTTCTGTAGTATCTTTTGTTTGAAAAAGAAAAAAACTTATTTTCCAACTGTCTAACCATACAATAACACAAACTTTACACAACACTCTCAGAGTTGTCCAGAAGTTAAATGGCATGATGTACATAAAAATGTTTGACCAGATCCCTGGCATATAGTATGCATTCAGTGATAACTTTGGTAAGATCTAATCCTCTTATTATCCTACATTCCTTTCAATTAATAGAAAAGACTCATAACAACAATTATAACACAGGATTTATGCAACGAAAAAGATTTAAAAACACACTGACTTGATGCCATTATATACCGGAAAGGTATTCATTTGAATGTCTCTCCATTTAATAACAAACAGGTCTGTGAGTTAAATCAAGATGTGTACCACTATAATCAAAACCAACATTTCTGTCTTCCCTAAAATAATCCTTCCACTAACAATTTAATGAGAGTTTTTTAAAAGGCCAGAGACATTAAGTTCCTCTTACTTGGGATCCCTGGGTGGCACAGCGGTTTGGCGCCTGCCTTAGACCCAGGATCGAATCCCACATCGGGCTCCCGGTGCATGGAGCCTGCTTCTCCCTCTGCCTATGTCTCTGCGCCTCTCTCTCTCTCTCTGTGACTATCATAAATAAATAAAAATTAAAAAAAAAAAAGTTCCTCTTACTTTCATTTTTAAAAATGCAAATTCAAGCAGCTCACAAAATATACTGGAATTATCAGGACCAAAGTCCTAACTGTTTGCCCAGGAAAGAGCACTGACAACCAGGGTGAACCTGCTCAAATGGAGCATCCACGATAATCAGGGGAGACCCCTCACTCACGCCTGATACCATCTGAGACAACCAGTGTCAGGACTGCTTATTCCCTATAACAAATGGCTCTTCTCAATCCTCTGGACTAGAGAGAGACCTGCTCTTTCTCCCTGGCTATGTCCCTCTCTACACTGATAACTCCAACACTAACACTTGTCCTGCCAAGTGGATACCCTGAGAGCACCTAATCTCAGTGGGTATAAAACCAGCTTCTCCTATGTCCCTGTGTCTGTTAATGGTATCACTATTCTCTCAGTCACCGAAGATCCGATCTAGCTTTCTTTCCCTCACCATCCCCCTTCCTTCCCAAGAATAAACCAGTTTCCAAGCAAGACCCGTCTTTTACCTCTGCAATTACCACCTAGCACCCACCCTGCCTCCACTCCCACAGCCTATCTTAGGTTCTCCTTACTTCTGTCCTGATGGGGCCAATAGCTCCCACCCAACTGCCCACCACGTCTCAGGCTTACAATGAGTCCTCCTACTCCAAAAAGTACTGACAGACTGATCTTGCTATGCATGTCCCTCGGCGCCCTATGGGCCTCCATTGCCTTCCATGGCATTCCAGATACTCAGAACTTAAAGGGCTCTCATCTGACACAACCATCCAGTCATTTGATTTTAGAAGCTCCTCAAATTCAAAATGCTCTGGCCTTACCTAAAGGCCATTCCTGCTCTGGCTCCAATCTAAAAGCCTATAATGTCATGAAAGTTCAAGTTAACTGTGCCATTCCACTGCTCAAGAGTTAAAGGTCAAAATTCTCAACCCAACCCACAGGGCTTCACATGGCCTGGCTCCTGTCTATCTCTCCAGTCTTGCCATGCTCCCATTTGCGCTCTGCTTCAGCTATCTGGCCTTCTATCAGCTTACCATGATGCCCCTCATCCCCAAGCCTCTGTACATGTTGGCTCCTTAGTACTCCACCCCTCATGTAGGTAGTGCTATCCTACCCCTCAGAACTCAACTCAAAATTCACTTGTTCAGCCACTAAGCCTTAACATTTCAAACTCAAGCCCTCTGTTTGCCCCCGTCCTTTCCTCCATAGCCTCAAGCAAAATAATAACAAATTATTATATTTCTTATTCCCAAACTGGAACATACACTCCCCAAGAGTAGGACTGTGTGGTCTTTTCTTTGCCATTGTATCTTACAACTTACCCCAGAGCAGCCCTCAACAAATATGCATAGATTAATGTAATTCGTAAATCAGAACGCCCTAGGTTACAAGCCCTAGGTTACAAAGCGAGACACACTACACACTGGGCATGAAATCACTTGATTTCTCCATAACAATAAAGAGCTCATCTCCTCAATGTTCTCTAAGTTTCCGTGAAGATGTGACATTACAGGAGTCTACAACTCTACCATTCTAAATCTTCCCCTTACAACTCTCTTCTGTTCTATACACCCTAGTACCAGCAATACTTTACTTTGTGGTCTCCACAATTTTGTTTGCACCCTTGCTCCCATCTGGAATTTTTTTCCCAGCTACGTATTTCCAAGTCCTACTTTGCTTCAAATACTCAAATCCAATGTCACTTTCTCCTCGAAGTCTTCCTTGCACTCCCCCTGCTAGTCACAATCTCCCTCCTTGAATTCCCACAGGTACTACTACATCGCCTCATTCAGGTCAGATCAAGTGTCACTTCAAATGAGGGGTTTCTCCTAAAGTTACTCACTCTTTATAATCCTTTATAATCCTCTTTATAATCAGGACATTCTGTTTTATTTTCTTGACAGCACTATTAACTAAAATTATCACAGTCATTTCTTTATTTACTTATTAACTGCCTGTCTTCTCCACTAGAATGTAAGATCCATGAGAGCAGGGCCTGTGTGCCTTGGTCACTATATCCCCACTCCTCCACATCTGACATCAAAAATGTTTAGTAAAATCTGCCAAAGGCATGAATGATTCTGTAGTCCTTATGACTAGGGTCACTTGTGTACCTATCTTTCTCTTGCTGTATTCCAAACTCTGTGTGGACTAGGCCAAAGTCTGGCTAATCTATTTGTTTATGTGTATTACCTGGAAATCCTCCCACAACTGAAGCAAATAATAGATAACTATTAATTAATGAATTAATGATCTCTACAGGAGTTAATGTCCTGAACCAGGCCAACTCAGAACTCCATATTCTCCAGAAACCAGGGCAAACAGGAACCACCTTCTATGCCCTCTCCACCCTGTTCCAATCAGCCAGCTCTAGTGAGCTTCAAAAGGCTAGTTTCTTCACTTTCTTCTAACCAACAACCACTGATTCTTCTACCTCTAGTATCTCACAATCCTAACCTTTCCCTTCTATCTTCAGCCAACAAATCACTGCCAAGGCCCTGTTTCTTCTGAGTACCCTGCATTTTCAATGAGTGAGAGAACCCATCAGGCCCTAGGGAACAAGGGAATGTTAAAAGAAAGTGTTTAAGTAAGACTAGCTCTCTCATCTTTTCTCATATACCTCATTTATCCGAAAGAGGCCCAGTTTCAGGGACTGGCTTTGATACTCTATGGGACTCTGAGCTTTCTTCTCATGTACCCACCGCACCCAAAATCCCTCTGGGGTGCCTCCACCCTTGCCTCAAACCTTTTCATCTTCCAGTAGACGACCCTGGGCCAGAGACGATGATCTCCTCGGAAGCAAATGGTCCTCAAACACTGTGGGACGGCCCTCCCGTCCCCACTTTCCGTCCGGCATCTGCCTCCGGCCTGGAGCCATCTCGTGCTCCCCGTAGCCTCAGCCTCCCTCCGGGCCCGACCCTCCACCCCCCCCCACTCACCTGAAGCGGCCCCCGCAGTGCTGGCATTGCTCGCCCACCCAGCCAGCGGGGCAGACGCACTGGCCGGTACCAGGGTTGCAGCGGCCGCCGTTGACACAGGGTCGGTCACATTCCTTGGCCTCGGCTGCCGCTGAGCCCGACACCGCCGCCGCTGCCGCCGCGGCCTCGGCCGCCCAGGGCAGCAGCAGCAGCGGCGGGAGCAGCAGCAGCAGCAGCAGCCGCCGCCGCGGGAGGCGCAGCCCGGCCCCCAGCCCCGGCCTCTCAGCCCCGGCCGCGTCCCAGTCCCGGCGCTGCCCGCCGTTCCTGCCCGCAGGCGCTGTCGTCGCCGCCGTCCTCCTCCTCAGCCTAGCCTGAGTCGCCGCCGCCGCCGCCACCATCTTCCCGGGGCTGAGACGGCGCCCCGCGCGCACATACACACACACACGGCACGGCCGGCTCCGCTTTGCCTGGCCGTGCGGGGCGGGGTTGGGCGGACGGTGGCTCGGCTGGTCAATCCTGAGGGCGGGGCCGGAGCTGCGCGGCGGGCGGGGCGACGCGTGCGTGCACAGGCGGGGCGGGGCGGGGCGGGGCGCGGCGCGGCGCGCTGGCCGTCCCCCCACACGCGCGGCCCTGGAGGCGGGTCGCGGACGCTGGGTCTGCGGGTTGTTGAGACCTTCCGAGGCTCCTTAGCCCTCCAGCATTTGCCCTTCGGGCGGCGCGGCGGCGGCAGGTTAGCATCCCTGAGGCGACGTCTTCCCGTTGCCTGCCTAGGAGCCGTCCGCTCTGCTAGCCTTGCCGGCCGTGTTGAGCATGCCCTCCCCGAGACCCCGGCGCGCGGCGTCGCTCTGCTCCGAACCCACCTGCGGGGCACAACCGGCCTAGGAGCTTTGGTCGTGGTGCGTGGGTGTGTACCGTAGTGTGCGGTACTGGAGGAGGAGTGCTGCGTCCCAGCCTTCGCTATCTCCTCTGTAAAGTAGGGATACGAAATAACACGTGTGCTAAGAACTCAGCGCATAGGTTGTGCGCAATAAATGCCTGATAGACTGAGTGAAGACACACAGCCCAGCCCTGCCTTGTTTGAGGCTGATCCAGGGGCCTTTAATTCTGTGGAGGTAATGTGGGATTATTTTACTCCGCACTATTCTCAAACATCTCTGAAGAGAGGCCAGCATAAAATTAGGAATTGGAGCACCCTCAGCCCACACATCCGCTCCTAGAGCCCTTCTTGTCAGGTAGTTTGTCACTTTGGTGGCCCCACAGAAACTTGCCTCCTGACAGTAATCGATCCCGGAATCTGGACTGGACCTGTGACTCGATTTAACCAATGGAAGAATGTGGCAGAAGTGACTACCAATTACAGAGATGAGCTTTGAGAATACCTGGTGACCTTGATTTTGAGCTCTTGATGATCCTGAGCTGCTCCCCTTCTTCCACCTTGCTGTAGAAAGATGACACACACAGACCACATGGAGGAAAAGGACCCAGTTACTACCAAGAACTGAGGTTCCAGACACATGAACCTGATGAACCCATCCCAGCTAAAGGACAGTCACTCGGAAGAAGCCATCTAGGTTGTTCTAGCCATCTGAGCAATTCCTCATTACCTAAACAGAGGTAAGTCTTTCCTACTGTGCCTTTTCCAAAATCCTGAGAAGTGATAACCTTGCTGCTGCTTTAAGCCTCTGTTTTAGAGAGGTTTGTTACTCAGCAATAGATAACCAGAACATTGTCAGACAAGCCTTGTGTTGTGAGGAATACTCCTGTGGCAGCTACCTCAGAGTTTGACCACCCTGCAGTCCCTGGGAAGCAAAGAAATCCCCTCATATACCTGTGGAGACTTGCAGCTTTACCTTAGAGCACAGAATTCTAAGATTCTAAGGTATACCCCCACATTCATGCCCAGGTCCTGATCTACCTTACTGTCCATCCACTTCAAGCCTGGTGAAGCTTAGCAACACCCGAGCCTCACACCCAGCTCTCCACCCATACACCCCTCCTATTCCTATATGAAATGTACTGTTCAGCCTAGGCCCTACCACTGGCATTCTGGTTTGCAGGTGGTTGTGGCTAGAGTGTCCTACAGGGACTGTGTAGGATGAAGTAGGAAATGTAAGATATGGCCCTACCCTCTGGCAAGGACCCAGTCAGATGGAGGTGGCTTACATGAGGCCACCGCCTGGCCTCAGGAGGCACTGCTCCCTCTACTCCTCTACACCAGAAGTGGAACCAGCCTTTTCCTTCATTCCCCATGGCAAAACTGAACCCAGACTGTGAAGTTTCAAATAATTTTACCAACGCTCAGGGATAACAGAAAACAGTTTGCATCTACAGAGGAGCAATATGGCTGCCCTGGAATCTTGCTGCAGCAAATGTTTTTTTTCTTCTTTAATCTATTCCCTTATCTGGTTCTCTCTCTTTCCTTAGCCATGTTTTGCTCAAATTATCTTGCTTTAAAAAACAAAATCGGGACACCCGGGTGGCTCAGCAGTTAAGCATCTGCCTTTGGCTCAGGGCATGATCCCGGCGTCCTGGGATGGAGTCCCACATCAGGCTCCTTGAGGGAAGCCTCCTTCTTCCTCTGCCTGTGTCTCTGCCTCTCTCTGTGTGTCTCATAAATAAATAAAAATAAAATCTTAAAAAAAATCTTATCTTGACCTATGAAGGGAAGTATTGCTATCTTTCTCCATTACTGTTGTTGTCAGAGTCCCCTGCACTTTATACTTCTGCATAGTGGATTAAAGAGGGCTGATTCAAGTCCCTGTTTAGGCACCAAATGCACCTTTTGGGGCACCTGGGTGGCTCAGCCAGTTAAGTGTCTGACTCCTGATTTTGGCTCAGGTCATGATCTCAGGGTTGTGAGATGGAACCCTGTATTAGGCTCTGTGCTGGGCATGGAGCCTGCTTAAGATTCTCTCCCTCTCCCTGACCCCAATAAATAAATATATAATGGCTGCAGATTGTTTTACACTCCTTCCATGGAGAGATAGGGACTCATTCCCCCCCACTCCTTGAATCTGGGCTGGTCTTAGTGTTTCCTGAACCAGTACACTGTGGTGGAAGTGATATACTGGAACTTCTGAGTCTAGATCCAGGAAGTTTTACCACTTCTTTCTGAGTGCCTTTGCACACTTGCTCTAAGGAAATCTAGCTGCTGTAAAAAAAAAAAAAGCCCAGCTTCTCTGAGATTGCTGTACTGTGGGGAGGCCAGCCCCAGCGGCTCCAGACCCCAGTGGTCCAGGTCTTCCCAGTTAAGCCCCCATAACTAGTTAAGTAGAGGGGTGTCATCTCTGCTGAACTCACCCCAAATTGCAGATAGATGAGCAAAATAAAGAAGTGTACTTCTTTAAGCCACTAAGTTTGGGGATGATTTATTTTGGGACCACAATAGATTACCAACATACTCTGTATCTTGCTTCCTCCAAAGATAAGTCTTTTGAGGTAGACTTGGTTAAGAATTGATTAAAAATGGCTGTATAAGGGCACCTCACTCGCTTAGTCTGTATTCAACTCTTAAGATTATAAATTCAAGCCCATGCTGGGTGTAGAGATTACTTAAAATCTTTAAAAAAGAAAGAATGGCTGTACAATTATATATACATATGCATCTATATATAACACACAGGCAAGTTCTGATATTATCATCTGGTCGTTCTGACGAAAAGCATCATTGCAGTTCCAGAAGTATGTCTGTTGGACCCCTCACGCCTTATCACCAACACTCTGTGACTGTTCTACCTGAAATCCCACACCATCTTTTTCTCCACTAGTCCTTTCAAGTGACCACTACCATGGCCTGGAAATTGTAATGTCAATGGTAAAAAATTCTTTTTTTTTTTTAATTTTTATTTATGATAGTCACAGAGAGAGAGAGGCAGAGACACAGGCAGAGGGAGAAGCAGGCTCCATGCACCTGAAGCCCGACGTGGGATTCGATCCCTGGTCCCCAGGATCGCGCCCTGGGCCAAAGGCAGGCGCCAAACCGCTGCGCCACCCAGGGATCCCAATGGTAAAGAATTCTAATGGCAGAGAATTTTTGGAACAGCTCTAACTGAATGGCCAAGGAGATTTGTATCCACTAAGATGGTTTGAAGTTACCTCATCTTTAAAAAAAAAAAAAAAAAAAAAAAAAACCTCAAGAAAGGCATTCTCTCTGCTTGTGTGACCCATTGCTCTCTCTGATTTCATGTCATCATTTTCTGTATCTTTGCATTGTCTCCAGGTCAGGGACATGGATGGTTTAACAATTTTTTGGCTTTTACTCATGCATTGTCTTAGGTCGGTTTCCTTAGCAGCAGAGCCTGAAACAGGATTTGAATGTATGATTTTTTTATGAGAGTGCTCTCTGGAGGCAATGAAGGAAGTAGGACAGAACAGGGAAAGGAGTTAAGCAAGGATATAGTCTTATCTGGAGTCAAGCCTCAGCCTGATCCTATGGAGAGCCTTAGGCATGAATTATATTATAGAATTCCACCTTGAGGCAAGAGAGCAGTATTTTGTATACATATCTTACTCAGCAGCCAGCCAGCACTCACACCTGTAAGAAGGATCTAATAAAGGAAATTTGGGAGAGGTATCAGTCCACTATATACAACAGGTATTTATTGAGCACTAGATTGCAAGGATGAATGTTGCCCTGGTAAAATATATCTGATCAGCTGTCTAACCTTCCCTAAGTATCAAAGGACCTTACTCTGTGCTATTTGAAACATCAACATTTTTTCATAAGTCAAAGATCTTATACTTTGGGTGCTCACTTCGGCAGCACATCTACAAAGATCTTAATACTTTTAGTCTACATGGAACAAAGCAATTCCCTGATTATAAATGTCAGGATCTTACCTAACATATAAGTTACTATATTGCCTGTGAAAAAGGTTGATCCTGAGGGTTTGAAACAAACAAAACTGGGAGGGTTTTAGGTAGGAAGGAAGCTCCATTGGGTAGCAACTTCCATGGAGAGATAAGTGAACTTACAAATATAAAATCCCAGTAGTCCTTGGCAGGCTCTACAGGAAAATGTTTAGGGATCCTTGATCTAGGAGCACAGGATTAGCCCCCTTAGCTGTTGGCAGAGCTCCTGATGGCCTCCATAGGCAAGCCCCACAAATATAGGAAGTAGCCTTTATATTAACTCAATGGACAAGATCCAGTGTTGGGAGGAAATCACTAATTTAAAGGCAGAGAACTTGGAATTTCTGTTAGATGTATTGGATGCCCTCTCCCTCAAATTTCTACAATAGAGAACCAAGATTTTTCTCCTGTACATGGATAAGACATTAGGAAAACAGTAATAGGGACACCTAGGTGGCTCAGCAGTTGAGCATCTGTCTGCCTTTGGCTCGGGGTGTGATCCTGGAGTTCCAGGATCAAGTTCTGCATCGGGCTCCCAATGGGGAGCCCGTTTCTCCCTCTGCCTGTGTCTCTGCCTCTCTCTCTGTGCCTCTCATGAATAAATAAATAAAATCTTAAAAAAAAAAAAAAGGAAAGCAGTAATAGTGTTAAAAGACAACTGACCTTCCTAAGTTTCCTGTGACTGCCAAAACAAATTACCATAAACTCAGTGGCAAAAAAAAAAAAAAAAAAAAAAAAAAAAAAAACACAACAAACTAATTTATTCTCTCATGTTTCTGGAGACCAGAAGTCCAAAATCAGAGTGTCAGCAAGGCTGTATTCCCTCTGGAAACTCTAGAGGAAAATCCTTCCTCACCTGTTCCAGCTTCTGATGGAAGTTGGCATTCCTTGCGTTAGCTTGTGGCCACATCACTCCAGTCTCTGTCTCTGTCATCACATTGCCCTGTCCTCTGTGTTGTCTTTTCCTGTGTGTGTCTCTTATGAGAACACTTGTCATTGGATTTAGGGCCCATCTGGATAATTTAGGATGATTTTGTCATCTCGAGCATTAATTAATTACATCTACAAAGGCCCTTTTCCTAAATATGACAATATTCACAGGTTATGTGGATTAGGATATGAATATATTTTTGGGGGGCCACTATTCAACCCACTACCCAACCCTATACAAAATGTCAACTCATTCAATTCATTCACTTATGCAACTAACATTTATTAAGGCTACTATATACCAGAGACTGATCTAGGTTCTGGGGAGGCAGCAGTGAAAAAGCATATAAAAATCTCAGCCTTTCTTCACACTTGTTAATGATGACTACTATTAAAATAAAACCAAAAATAACAAATGGCAAGAATATGGATAAATGGGAACTGTTGTGTACTATTAATGGGAATGGTAGTGTACTGTAGAAAACAGTTTGGCAGTTCCAGACATTAAAAATAGAATTCATGGGGCACCTGGCTGACTCAGTAGAGCATGTGACTCTTGATCTCAGGGTTGTGAGTTCAACCTCCATGTTGGGCATGGAGCTTACATTAAAAAAAAAAAAAAAATTACCTTATGATCCAGCAATCCAATTTTGTGGATATATCCAAAATAATTGAAAGCAGGATCTTTAAGAGATATTTGTATATTCACTGAGGCATTATTCACAATAGCCAGGAGGTGGAAGCAACTTAAATGTCCATTGACAGATGAGTAGATAAACAAAACATGGTATATGTATATACAATAAAATATTACTCAGGGACACCTGGCCAGC